TCCTGTGAGCCATTTTGCTGATGAGCCACTCCCTCCCTCTTTTTTTGTTAATCCAGGTAGAATAATTCATAACAAACCTAGTTTTTATTTCTGAATTCAATGAGATTATTTCATTCTGCTTTTTCAGGTTAAGCTCCTGATGATTAAAATTAAGTTCACTGATACAGACATTGCATGTCTTGCTTCCTGTCCCATCCCCCTACTTTTATATTCCCAGGGTTTTCTTCTAATTTTTTTTCTCTCAAGCCTAGTCAGTAGATATTGTCTAGTGTAAGCATTGGAGCTATGTTCAACACAAAATATTCTCACTATGGGAGTCAATACATGGTAGGTTTAAGCCCATTTCCATTATGAAATAAAAATAGGTTTATTTTCCCATTTGTTCCTGTTTTAATCCTTTCTCACCATCATACCATTGGTGTAAGAGGTCTTAATAACATAGCTTAAGTTTGTCTCTATAAAAAGTAGGTTTAATTTTGTATAATAATCAACAGATACTGGTTTTACAGAGGGTGATTGGGCAAAATATATTAGGCCAGTATCTAGTCTTGAACTTGTGATACATACTGTTTTATTCATCATTCAAAAGCACAGAACATCCTAGAGACCTTAGCAGGGTTCTATTTGGTTCTTATATTAGGTCAAATAAACCATCCCTAAGATAAGTTTCAGTAAAATTTTATGCATGTGTTGGAGCTACATGGCTAGGACAAAAACAAACGGTTACTTGAAAACCACAAAGAAGTGGGAGCCCAAAGAATTCCTTTCTGCAATTCAATAAACAAGAGGAAAGATGTACTGTTTGCTGGCTCAAAATAGACACTAATTTTACATCTGTCTCTGAGGCACAGCAAAAAGCCAACTAAAGAGCAGTAATAAATGTCCAAAAACAGCATCAGTATCCAAAACTCTCACAGTAATCTTCAGAGGAATTAATTACAATTCTGTGTAACAGTTGCACTGGCAAAATGCACCCATAATTATATACAGGTACTGTACTGCATTACAGGGAAATTTGCCATGTGACGCCATGTTTACATGATAATTGATGGATAAGATAAAACTATTTGCATATGAAGTGCATATGAATTATTGGCATGGCTCACCATTTTATGTGGAATCATATTAAAGTTTCATTTTCTCTAAAACTGTATGTGTAATATGGGGTTACCAAAGGGTATAAAGCTGATACTTAAATTTGCTTTATAGCAAATAGGCCTAGAAAGATATATCTGAATATGCATTACTAAAAACCTATATTTAAAAGGTTGCATAGTTGATCTGTAATAAGCATTATTTTCACTTCACCAGATTACATTATATTAAATCCTTTCTATTTTTCCTTTCAAGTAAACAATACTCTAAATTGTATCACTATGACAATTAATTTTACAGTCATATGCAAAACAAATAATGGTTTCTCTTTATTGTCTACAGCTAACTTTTATTTTCAGATTTTTGTGTTCTGGTGACATGTAATAGAATAGTAGCAAAATGTGACATTTGTATAATGTCCATACCTGCCGGAACATTTCAGCATTTGCAAAAATGGCCTATTATAGCATTTAAACATTGCTGATAATTAGCTTGACATTTGAAATACCAGAACTGTTGTTTTGAAGATGCCCTATACAATGTTACCTAACTAACCCCTTTTCCTTCTTGTATGCTTTTGCTATAGTATTCTGTCATTTACAATACAAGTAAGATATCAGTAGCTAATGTATTAATATAGGAAAGAAAGAATGTGGACGGGCAATACTTCATTTTCACCAGAAGCAGCAGTCTTATTGATGCAAAGGAAAATTACATATGCAGATTATAGACAGTTAATTGTTAACAGGGTGGTCAACAATGATTTCCTGTAACTCCACTCAAGTTAACTGTGCCAATAAGTCAATGACATATCAAACATTTATTAAATACCTACAAAGCAGTCAATCTATGAAATACAAAGAGGTGCTCTTCTCACCTCAGGAAGCTTACAATTTATTTGGAGAAACAAAATCATAAAACTGTGCTAGAGGGACATTTGAAAACTCCACACATGGAAAACAATGACTTGTCAAAGGCTGTACAAACAGTTGGTGGCAAAGCCAAAGCTAGAAGGCATGTCTTCAGGCAGACAACAGCTATACAAAAAAGATACACAATAAACAAATTCCCAGAGAAGAATGCATTCTAAATTTAAACTCCACAAATCCAGAGTAAAGAAATGGAAATCCATGGGATTTTTGGAAATTTTCATGTGGTAAAAGGGAAATTGTTGCTTAATTTTAAATTGTTTTGATGATTGTTACTTTCATGGATCCCCTTAATTTGAGTTATAGAAGCCTACCAATTTGATCAATTACCAGAATCTAACAATACACCCATGTTTCCTGCAATAGTTTGGAAACAATAGAAATAAAGAGGCAGCTCACAGAATTACGAGCTTGACAACTTGCCTTCTTGTCCCAGCACCAACATGTAACCAGCTGTGTGGCCTTGGTCTGTCACCCAAGAAAACTTGGTAGATATGGGTTCCCTGTTTATGAGATTGTCACAGAAGCTTATGAAATTGCACATATGATGGTACTTTGTGAAGTACAACATGCTAACATGGAAATGAGGTGATGTAACTATTATAACCACTGAAATCGTAATAAAGACGG